CTGAAGGGATTTGATAGAAGTGAATGGGTATCCCGGTGGAGGGTGGAGCTGGGAAATAAGTGGGTCAAGTCACTGGGCTAAGGGCAGGGACACTCCACAATGAGGGATTTATCTTTCCCTGTTCCACATATTGCTTGTCTGTCAGATACTCCTCTAAATCTAAACATTCAGTTTAAGACAGACTAGGAAGAAGGATTGGCCATCCGCTTCTGAAATAGCAAGCCTCTGAAAACCCTATGTACAACAGAATACACGTAGACTAACAGAAAGGGCAACATAGGTAGAACTTTCAAATATGGAAATACAAAGGAAGAAGAACAGTTTTAAGACGATGCTAGTGATTGGAACTTGGAATGTGAGAACCACGAATGTAGGAAAATTAGAAATTGTTAAGAAAGAAATGGAACGCATAAATATTGACATACTAGACATTGGAGAGATGAGATGGACTGGTATGGGGCATTTTGGGTCAGATGATCATATATTACTCCAGAGATGAAAAGGTGAGGAAAAATGGGGTTGCCCTCAGTTAAAATGGGGTTGCAAGAAGCTAGAGTCAAAAAATCAAAAGGGCTGAACTTTCTCAGCATGTCTTAAGCTCAGGAAACTGAAAAAAAAAAAAAAAAAAAAAAACACAAAAAAACAAAACAAACCCCAAATTGAAACCTTGAGTTGCAATACTTAAGGCTGCTTAGGGCAGAATATTAAATGATCCAGGAAGTATTAAAAGAAGATAGAAAGAGTATACAGAGTCATTGTACTGAAAGGAATTGGCAGACACAGAAGAATTTCATGAAACAGCATATAAACAAGAGTGTACGGTGATGAAGGAAGAGGTTCAAGCTGCTTTGGAAGAAGTGGCAAAAAATAGGCCCTAAGAATTGATAGTATACCAGCTGATGTATTTCAACTAACAGATACTGCCCTAGATGTGCTCACCAAATTGTGTCAAAAAATCTGGAGAACAACCATTTGGCCAACTACTGGAAAAGATCTATATTTGTTTCTATTCCAAAGAAAAGTGATTGATAAGAGTGTGAAAATTATGGTGAGCTCTGGTGGCCTAGTGGCAAGAAGCTGCACTACAATCCCAGAAGTGAGCAGTTCAAATGCACCAGATGCTCTGCTGGAGAAGGAGGGATAATCTCCTCCTGTCAGATTCGATTTGCAAGTACACACAAAAAATTGAAAAGAGTGTGGAAATTATCAAACAATATCATTAATATCACATGTAAGCAAGATTCTGCTGAAGATTATCCAAAAATGACTGGAATAGCACATCAACAGAGAACTGCCAGAAGTGTGGGCTGGATTTAGAAGGGGTCGTGGTACTAGGGATATTGTAGCTAATGTTAAATGAATCTTGGCTGAAAGCGGGGAGTACCAGAGGAATGTCTATCTGTGTTTCATTGATTATGCAAAGGCATCTGACTGTGTGGATCACTACAAACTGTGGCTGACTCTGAGAAGAATGGGAATCCGAGAACACTTGATCGTGCTAATGTGAAACTTATACTTGGACCAGGAACCAGGAGGCAGTGATCAGAACACAGCAAGGAAACACTGCATGGTTCAAAATTGGGAAGGGTGTATGCCAGGGATGTGTCCTATCTCCACACCTTTTCAATTTATATGCAGGACGGATTATCTGGGAAGCTGGGCTGTATGAGGAGAAATGTGGCATCAGGATTGGAGGAAGATTAATCAACAATCTGTGTTATGCAGATGACACAACCCTGCTTGCTGAAACTGAGGAGGACCTG